CAGCCGACAGCACTGCTCAACCTTCCAAATTGGTCTAGTTTATTGATTTTTAGCAAAAAGGAGTGTCTTGCAAAACGTCAGCCTCAAATGTAAACATATATTTTTCATGGAAAAAAGTGGGCACAAGTTTGCGATCGAGTCCACCAACTAAACCAGATTTTGGACAGTCAGACGTGCACAATCTAGCACAAAACCGACAAGTTCAGAATCTGGTTTGGTTGGTGGACTCGATCGCTTAACTCGTGCCCACATTTTTCCATGCTACATTTTTTTTCTTTGGCTCGCCATCTGAGTTCCTATTTAACTTCCTAATAATTATATGTTTTAAGATCAGCATTGAGTTCAGCATTGAGATCAGCATTGAGATCAGCATTGAGATCAGCATTGAGATCAGCATTGAGTTCAGCATTGAGACTGTACTGCCTTTTCTACTTGACACTCTGGTTGCTAAACTAAATGCTGTCATCCCATCTTGCAGTACCAGGACGAAACGCAAAGACACGGTGGACACTTCAACTCGAGTGTTCACACACTTACAAGTTTTCTCGACTGGCACAGCAGCGGAAGAGGGCTGAGGGCTAGTTGAGGAGGGCAGAGCACTAGCTGAAGAGGACCGTGGGCTGGTTGAGCAGGACCGTACACTAGAGGAAGAGGGTAGCGGGCTGGTTGAGCAGGGCTGTGGGCTAGTCGAGGAGGGCAGTGCACAGGCTGAAGAGGGCACTGTGCTGGTTGGTAATGATGACCGACATGAACGGATCGGTGAGGTTTCTCTCGATGAGTCTATACACACAACAGCAGCAACAGCAGCAGTAGGTAGAAGAAAATGCAGAGCACAACCACTATGAAGTGTCTGATGAGCAACATGTACTAATTGCTGGAACAACCTACATTGATCGTACACACATGCACACATCTCACCCACCCACCCACCCACCCAGTGGTTCAGCTGCATACGGTTCTAGAATATTGGGACCGTGTTACTTTCTAACAATACGCTTCACCAGAGGTAGACATGGTGTACGTAGTATCACTCAAACCATGAAGACATTGATAAGCCTGACAGATAGCAGCAGCAGCCATGTTCCAAACAACCTGCAACAGTGGCCTGACAAGATGACTCACCGCTCAAATCCACATCCAGTATTGTTGGCCGGATGGTAACGGCATCCGTCTGAGACACAACCTTGGCAACCGATGCTGCAGAACTAGAGGGCTGGGCGGGCAAGGATTCCACTGATGAATCTAAACACACGGAAAGGAAACAACAGCAGCAGCAACAGCAGCAGCACCACCACCACCACCACGACCACCAACAACAACAGAATTACATCAATGTTAAAAGGCTGTACTTGTGAGAGCAGGAAGTATCATCAACAATGTCATGCATGCCAATCAGCCAGAAACTAGTCACCGCCAGCCATGCATGTCTACAACTAGAATGCAGAGGATACTCATGTACCCGTTCACATACTCATGTACCCGTTCACATACTCATGTACCCGTTCACATACTCATGTACCCGTGTTCACATACTCATGTACCCGTTCACATACTCATGTACCCGTTCACATACTCATGTACCCGTTCACATACTCATGTACCCGTTCACATACTCATGTACCCGTTCACATACTCATGTACCCGTTCACATACTCATGTACCCGTTCACATACTCATGTACTCGTTCACATACTCATGTACCCGTTCACATACTCATGTACCCGTTCACATACTCATGTACCCGTTCACATACTCATGTACCCGTTCAAATACTCATGTACCCGTTCAAATACTCATGTACCCGTTCAAATACTCATGTACCCGTTCACATACTCATGTACCCGTTCACATACTTATGTACCCGTTCACATACTCATGTACCCGTTCACATACTCATGTACCCGTTCACATACTCATGTACCCGTTCAAATACTCATGTACCCGTTCAAATACGCATGTACCCGTTCAAATGATCACCTCCTAAACACAGCATACACCACTCCATACAGCATAGCAACGCGACCGAATAACTTACCACTCAGCTCCACATCCATCAATGCTTGGCTTGGAGCAAACGCCGGTACGGGTGATGGGACGTCTGCAACACACACACACACACCATTGGACCATTGGACCATTGGACGCCCATCACCGCAGGCGATGATAGCGATGCTACAGCAGAAGCCATAGCAGCTTGTGCTGGGATTGCACCATTCAACAACTTGCAAGGCTGAAGAATTGACCGCCACTATTCAGCCTGGTCTACACCACACAGCTATGAAGTGGCTTTTTCTGGCCAGTGAATCCCTACTTTTTGGTCTTTTTTCATTTTTTTCCGCACACACATCACACCACATACTCCGGCATGCACTGGCTGTTGGTAACCACCCAGGAGGATGAAAGAAAAGTCAGGAGGAGTCTGAGAAAGAGAAGAAAGACGTGTGTGACCACAATCGTCGGGAATCGAACCCGCAACCTCTCGATTGGAAATCGCTGCACATACCACTGCACCATATGGGACACACACACACACACACACACGCACACACACACACGCACACGCACGTGCGCACACACACACACACACACAGTAACAATCCATGCATCCAAACACCAAACAGATCAGATTATGATCACACAATATTTTGTCAAGATGGACACATGCATGCATGCACACACCAAAGAGCTTCCAAACACAACAGCAAGTGTGTTCACTTTCGAAGGGATGAAAAATTCCGGAAGCATGGCAACTCCTTCAATTCGGACTAAAGGGACAATACACCCAAAATTGGATAAGGATTACTAGTAATCTGATTGCTGGCATCACCCTCAGCCAGAATCCAAAACGGAAGTTTCCCTTCATCGATGAGAACCTGCATTTTGCGGGTGTAACGTAACTTCCCTGCTTCCCATCTTTGACCTATTGCAATGTCACCCTGGTCACATACATACATACAGAGATTACTTTCTCGTTCCTCTTGCATGTACTTGGTCATTGGTTCTGTGTATCAGCACTGCACTAGCGACATTATAAATGTGGTGATTCAGCAAAGGAAACACAGCAGGTTCCACTAGATGCACAGCAAAATCCGTTGCCGGCTACCAACAAACCCTATTTTAAGAATTAAATTCTACGGTGGACTGTCCCTTTATTTCCCATTGTGTGTTGGTGTGTGCAAGTGTGTTGACAAGATTTAAAAAAAGAGCAGCATGATGCTGTAGACAGCAAGTGCATGTACTCCACTAGTACTGTCTGCGGTGCTTACCAGACCCCCGTGTGCAATCTGCTGCCGGCACACTTTCTGGCGAACGCGGTGCAGTTGGCAAGCAAACAGGTGCCGACGGACCTGCGGTTGACTGAGGCCGAGATGAGCGAAGAGGTGAGGATTCCCGGGATGAATCTACACATAGAATGAAATCCAAGCCCAGGCAGCATTACAATGGAGGAAGGTGGCAAGACGGGACTATCTGTGGTTTGGGGTTGGTTTGTGCTCAGTGAAACAAGTATGCATGGTTGACAGCACTGCAAGTCATCTAGGAAATTGGGAAGAGCTTAGAAAAAAAAACTTTAAATCGGGAAGAATTAGGTTAACACAGTCTAGAGCATGCTGCATTTCTGAGGTATAAGCTGCATTTACCTCTGAATACACATGGCCAGAAATACACAGTGCAGTATTAACTTACACAGATACCTTGACCATGTATTCCAGTAAACCATACGAATTTCAAAAAATAGTCTTGCCTCCAAGGAGGGGGCGGGGGAGAGAGAGAGGGGCGGACTGTCAGCCATTTAGAATACTGGCAAAAGTCTGTACCACAAGTTGTCAGGGAAGAATGCGCCAGAAGTCCATGATAGTCAGAAAAAAAGAGGTGAGAACTGCATATGCACGCACATTCAATTTCCTAAATAGTGTAGCAGTTAGACAGAAGCACAATCATGTACTTACCACTCAGCTCCAGGTCCATCAATGCAGGCTTGGCAACACTCACTCGTACAGGAGATGGAACATCTTAAACACATAGCAACAAAACAGATTAATTCAAATACAGTCAAACCTCGTTAGGACGAACTTCAAGGGGCTGAACAAATTTGTTTGTCTTATCGGGAGTTCTTCTTATCCAGATCTGACAAAAAAATCGATATGCATATCATATGGATTGTATTTACGTGAAGGTGCATACTGTGGTAAATGGGAAGCATTTATTCTCAGCATAAGCCAGAAACAGACAATGTGCTACAATTCGTGACTGTGCTTCCATATACAAACAAATACATTACGATAAACCATAGATTGAATATGAGTGATTACGAGTGTGCATGTGAAGCACAGCATCTCAACATCCATACTTTACAAAAACAGTTCACGGTTCGTGTGAGACTCGGTCGGAGCCAGTGGAGGCCGAGTTTTCCGCATCCGCAGGAACGCCACTACCCTCTACGGATCAACGCTCTTTGCTTCACAAAACACTTCACAACTCGATCAACGACGCGAACAGTGTACGCTGAAGCTTGGCCTAGAAAGCACGCACGTCAGTGCGTCTACTACGATTCACTACGTAGATCTATGTACGTACAATCAATGTATGGACCCGGCTATCGAAAAAAGAAAGAAAAAAAGAAAGAAAAAAAGACAGCCAGCGCACGCGCACGCACCCAAAGTTCGTACTACGCGCTGATTTTATTCAAATCACACTTGAAAATAGTTCGTCTTCGCGAAAGTTCGCCATACAGGAGTTCGTCGTAAACGAATAATTTTGACTGGATATGATGCCTGGCCAACCGTAGGATTGGCCCTAGTTCGTACTAATGGAAAGTTCGCCTTATCAATGTTGGTCCTAACCCGGTTTGACTGTACAGTAAAGTTAGATCTGGCCAAACCATGTCCAAACCAGCAAAATCGTCCTCTCATTCACTCTCGATTGAGTTCAGTCTTGTCAGGGTGTTGCCAAAAGTATCGTGAAAGCCTGTCAATAACTGACAATAAGTACGTAATAAAACCTATAACGGCTATAAGTACAAGAACCTCCTCCCATACGTATTCCCGGGCACCGTAATAACTTTTCGGGTGAACATCCTTTGGAGACTTAAAAAGTATGTGTTGTCAGTAGTTACAAATCCATTGCGATGCTTACTACACATTTTGATCCAGATTGCATCGTGTTAGCATGGCAAAAAGCGTTTTCGAGCACATACTTATTGATGGGCCGCTACGGTAAAAGAAGAAAGTGCTGCGTGCGGCCAACAGCTACGGGCATACGGTCCAGTAGACGAGGACGAGAACAACAACAACAACAACAACAACAACAACAACAACAACAACAACAACAACAACAACAACAACAACAACAACAACCACAACAACAACAACAACAACATTGTGTATTCAGCTAGAATGGCTGGCCTACCTGTTTGCATGCCAATCGGCGGTAACACATCCGCTGACGGACACGGTGCTGGTTTTGAACAAACAGGCTCTGGCGAACTGGTGGTTGATTGAGAATGACATGAACGGATCGGTGAGGATTCTTGTGATGGGTCTACACAAAGAGCAAGAACCAAGAATGGAAAAAAAACCCAAGGCCAAATGTCCATGGTTAAAGGGGAACTGTCACCAACAATTTCCTGTGCCAACTTTGCAGTTGTGAGGCTGGTGATCACAATGGTAAAAACTTCATTTCCTTCTGAGGCGACTGTACGGGTACTCCAACAAAATTGTTCAGAAGTACAGCTGGATGTCATGCTCCACTTGCCTATCACGTGTATCTTCGTCGTCACAACGCAGCAACAACTCGGCCTGTGTTGAACGAAAGGAGCTGGTACAGTGTGCGCAGTACGGAATGTCGGTTGTACTGATTCCCAGGATGCACACTCCACTTGTTGCCTTATCAATTCGTTAGAAGTAAGGTCTTTTCGAGACTCGAAATTCGATTGTTTGCACCTGATCACGGGGATGAGTCGCTATTCGAAAGCCTGAACAGCATTGTCTCCGTTCAGCTATAGCACTTCCCGAGTTAAAAGTGCCCATGGCGTCTCTTTCTCTCTCCTTCTTCCCCGTTTCCCGTTCCCTCTTGAGAATCATTGTGGTCGTGTCCAATATCAAATTATCAAATGGTGCAAATAATTTGCAAAGTACTTCATGAAGCACAGCGAAAGAACGGTTTGCCTGCAAGAAGCATCAGATGAAACTCAACACGTGGGATTGCCTTCGGCTTCGTGCGTTTTCCAGTCCTGCATGCTTCCAGAGATCTACGATGTGCACATACCGACTGCCGTACAGCACGTGACTTGTTTCATTGCGATGACCAAGACACATGTGAAGGGCAAGTTGAGCGCCACGTCACGCTGTGCTTCGGGACAATTTCGGACACTTTCACGCCTGGAGTCTTCCAGTCAGTTTTACCATCGGGATGACAGTCTTCCAGTCAGTTTTACCATCGGGATGAGCAGCCTCACACCAACAAAGTACAGCAAAGAAACTTGTGAGTGGCTGCTCCCTTTTAATAGTGGCAAAGTGGGATTATCTGTATTTTTCAGATTGAGCAAATTGGGCACACACGTTAAAAGTACTGTAAGGCAATAAGAAAATTTGGGAGTATTTTGGTGTGATGTTGCTTTGTTCCAACTAGTGTTTATTCCTGCTTACCTGCTTGCATACACACTGTGGACAACGCATCTGCTGGAGAAGAAGGTGTGGGTTTGGAACAAACTAGCGCTAATGAGTTTGTGGCTGATTGAGACTGACATGAACGAACCGGTGAGGATTCCCGTGATGAGTCTACAAACAGAGAAAGAAAACAGAAATAAAGACAAGGCAATCTTTTTACGGAGAGTCGCGGCAAAGCGGGATTGTCTGCTTGGCTTTTCCTCTTATCCTGCATGTCGGACTGCATTTTGAACTATTTCGAACTTTTGGGAGAGCTTCCAACCCAAAGTTCAGCCCTCACCATCGTCTACACAGATTTCAAAAGCGTCGACCTCCATTTTGAAAACATGGTGGCTGGCCGCGCTACCCGTAGGCGCACGTGCCCCCGCTTGTCTTCGCGCGAGCTTCGAGCTAAAGATCACGTTGCGCACTCATTTTCCTGTCTTTCCCCATTTCTTTGAACTCGCTCAGCTTTTGCTTCGTCTCCACGCTGTAGTCTGAGTTAGTTCTCTTGTCTACTTGCAGCAGAATACTGCAAACTCTACAGCGCGTCGAGCTTCTCCTAGAAGAGTTTTTTTGTATTGGTGAGGCCTTTTGCGTCGAGATAGACTGTCGATCCTATCTTGTCGTCGTCTCACGAGCGCCCGAATGCAACAGTACCGTATTTTACCGGTTATAAGTCGACCCCGGTTATAGGTCGACCCCCGTATCCGGAGGTCTCAATTCTACGTTTTAAAGTTTTCACCCAAAGAAGCACTACTAACCACCTCCTGCTACTAACACATCAACAAATCATGTAAATATTCCTCATTGGAGGGTATAACATCCCAATCCTTGAAAAATGCCAATAAATTGGCAACAATGTGTACACATGGTGCACTCGTGCATGCAGTGCAGGTCATTTTTTGTAAGATACTGATAGCTCCCGGATATAAGTCGAATCCCGGTTGTAAGTCGACCCCCACCCTTTCTCCGGCTATTTTAAGTCGTAAAAGGTCGACTTACAACCGGAAAAATACGGTATCTATTTTCTTGTCGTTCCATTTTCTGGCGAACTCATTCACCTACTACTTCTTCCTTTATGAAAGCTTCAGGTGGCTGAGTTCTCCAATTAGCGACAATCATGCCGTGGAAAAGAACGGATCCCTTTCGCACTCGCCGCGAGGGCGCAGCACGGAAACTGGTCTATTGAATTCATTTCTTGGTCGATTTTGACAACCGATACGTCGTTGTTTTTCTTTTTTCACTGGCTGTCCTTTCTCCGCTTCCGAATTGCGATGCCGTCCACCTGGTAAGCCTTGAAGTGAAACGAGTGGAGGCTGGTTTCGGAGGTAATTTTCGGTCAAATGGCAATCAAATCGAAAAATTCGAAGCGGACGATCTGTTGGCATCTATATTGGTCCATAAAATATCTTTGGAAACTACACCGTATGAACGAAGGAATTACGGTAAGTTTGAGAATTTTGGTACATTAGCTGTGCGCTGATTGGTCGATTAGCGCAACCGTTGACAAACGGGCCAGTGACGTTTTGTACAGCGTTGATGAGGGCTGAAGTTGTACATGAAGAGTACACTACAAGTTCATGTTCATACATAGCTCTTCTCATGTTTCATTTGTCTCAGAAAAGAGCACTGTTATATCAGGATACTAGTGTGCCTACACATGCCATGAGCAACAACACTGGAATACATCAATGACCCGGAGTGTGCCTACACATGCCATGAGCAACAACACTGGAATACATCAATGACCCGGAGTGTGCCTACACATGCCATGAGCAACAACACTGGAATACATCAATGACCCGGAGTGTGCCTACACATGCCATGAGCAACAACACTGGAATACATCAATGACCCGGAGTGTGCCTACACATGCCATGAGCAACAACACTGGAATACATCAATGACCCGGAGTGTGCCTACGCATGCCATGAGCAACAACACTGGAATACATCAATGACCCGGAGTGTGCCTACACATGCCATGAGCAACAACACTGGAGTACATCAATGACCCGGAGTGTGCCTACACATGCCATGAGCAACAACACTGGAATACATCAATGACCAGGTGCTAGATTACGCGAGGCATGTGATCAAAGTCACACAAGAGATACCCGCTGAGCCCTTTACCACAATCCCTCCCTGAACAGCATAACAGCCTGATTGAATGACTTACCACTCAGCTCCACATCCATCAATGCATGACTGGGAGTGGTCGCTGGCACAGGCGCTGCAACATCTTCAACACCAAAAAACACACACACACACATCCACAAACATTCAGGCATGGAAAATAAGACCATACATTTTTAAGCACAGCCTGAAAACGTACTCCTAGTTGATCCAGCAAAACCCATCCAGACCACTTTCAATGTTGATCGACTTCAGTGGTCCAAAGGTATGTTGACAAACTGACAGAAAGTAGTGCAAAATGTGAACAGCAGCCATGGGTTGTTGGAGAGGAGACAACACCACCACGTACTCCACTAGAATTGCCTGCTTACCTGCTAGTGTGCCTGCTGTCGGTAACACATCCGCAGGCAAACACAGTGCTGGTTTTGAACAAACAGGCACAGGTGAACTGGTGGCTGATTGAGACCGACATGAACGAACCGGTGAGGATTCCCGTGACGAGTCTAGACAAGAAGCAAATACAAGAACAAAAACCAAGGCAATCTTACTATGGAGAAATGTGGCTAAGTGGGATACTGTAAGACATGGAATTATAACGAGGAAGTAAATCTAACGTTTTTAACGGGTGCGATATTTTTCGTTATGATAAGTTCTATTGAGGCTCCAATGCCTCATACATGTATGTGTTATGTGCAGACACGCCTGAAGATCACAAGATCGTTAACGTATCTTCTCGTTAACCTATGAATTTTGGACAATCGTTAAATTTGCGACTCGTTATAATAACATGTCTTACAGTAGTCCGTCGCTGTCGTTCTGGATTGCTGTATAGTAACACTGCATGAGCTTCCAAGAAAACAATAGGGAGAAGTTGCACTCTCCAATCGTGGGTGTGAAAGAGAACGGTAGAAGTCCATTTTAACTCATGTGGAGGTTCACTTGTCTCCTATTTTGAAACGCATCATCGTGAGTATAGCCAGACCTTCGTGTAAGAAAAATCCAGGAGAGTGAACAATCACTCTCGCTATCCTCTCAAGGAGAGCAGTCCCCACCATCCTTATCTATCCAAGGCGAGCACAATACGGGTTTTTTTCAACATCTTGCCATACTCCAATCGGATTCAATACCCAATAGCTGCCAAAAATTCGATCTGGAAAATCGCCGTACGCACTACAAATGGAAGCTGTTCGGACCACAACTTTAGTTTCCCTTCATCTATTTTAACAATGAATCTCAAGCATTCTGGAAAGCTACTGGCAAGAGGAACATACCAGTGGGATTTTCACCAGCTGGAGTGTTGCTGCGGTGGCACTATAGCCTAGGGAGCTGGGAAGACACCCGCAACGGAAAATTGAGACAATTCGCTAAGATCCATGTTTTTTTGTAGTATTCATCGCAGAGCGCTCCTTTCCTTTGTAGCTAACCGCTAAAGACCTGTACCTGACGTCATACAGGTCTATGCATGCGCGATATGCCCGGACTAGTCGACTGTCGACATGTCACGCAACAGAGGGAAATCCTTTATGTCAAAAATTATGATTGCCACCCAAGTGCGGAAGTGAAAATATGCGATGTGACGTAAAATACCTTGCGAGTGCCGTAACTCCACTATTCGACCTCTGCTCGACTTCGGATTTGTTGGAGCCGACAGCTGAGAACTTTCTAATGCGAATAGACCTTTCGATTACTCAATTCTGATCAGGGAAAGCCGAGTTACGAAATATTTGAGTGTTTGCAGAATCATGGACTTCATAGTGATGCGGATGCGCTCGAAATTCTCAAGGCGCGCGACGAAAAGTGCGCCCAAAATGAAAATAAGGAGAGCGAAGGCGCGCGAGAGCGATTGCTCTCCTTTTCCAGATGGTCTGTATAGCATATGGTATGATTATAAAGGAAGTAAGTTAAAGGGGAAGTTAAGGCAAAAATTAAAATTTCACCAGTTGTAGTCTTCGGGGTGCTGAGTCGAATGGTCGTGGTCCGAGGAAGCTGAGACGCTCCCTTCCTACTTGAATCCCAATCGAACTCGCGCACTTCCACCGAAACTGGGTGACTGCGCCCTACTAGATGGGGATTTGTATGCAAAATGTCACTAAAAGCGCCATTTCCTTCTTATAAAAGCACGGATGACCGCGATTGGCCCATATGTTGTAGTCTTTTGGACGCTGAGTCGACTGGTTTTGGTCCGAAAAGGCTGCGATGCAGCGTTCCTTCTTTATTCCCAATCGAACATGGTTGAACAAGCGGTCACGTGCTCCTGCGTACGCCAGTCACCTGGTCACCGTGCCTGCAGGGTACAACTTACTAGCCTGTTTGACCTTTTTGGGGTGCAGTCATGTCACTCGAGTTGAACCTTGGTGTGAAAGTTGTCGTCTGCTGGCGTGGTGACCAGGTGATTTGGGCATCCAGGAGCACGTGACCGATTGTTCAACCATGTTCGATTGGGAATAAAGGAGGAACGCTGCATCGCAGCCTTTTCGGACCAAAACCAGTCGACTCAGCGTCCAAAAGACTAAGATTAATTTTTGCCTTAACTTCCCCTTTAAACAATAACACTGAGATCATGATGTCTGAATGCTAAACCATTAAATACATGCAGTCAGACACATTGGATTGAGAACTAGAACTAACGTATGAGCTGAGCACTTTTAAATATGCATAGCCATGCCCTAAAGAGCACATCTTCTCGACAGAATCACGTACCACTCAGCTCCACGTCCATCAATGCCTGGTTGGAAGTGCTCGTTGGCACAGGGGATGAAACACCTTCAACCACAAGAAAAAACACACATGCAAATTCAACCATTCAACCATGGAAAATAAGACTACACGTTTTCAAGCACAACCTGAAAACTGTACTCCTAGTTGATCCAGCAAAACCATCCAGACCACTTTCAATGTTGATCGACTTCAGTGGTGGAAAGGTGTGTTGACAAACTAAAAGAAAATAGTGCGAAACGTGAACAGCAGCCATGGGTGGTTGGAAAGGAGACAAGGACACCAGTCACACCACCATGTATTCCACTAGAATTGCCTGCTTACCTGCTACCGTGCATGTTGTCGGTAACACATCAGCTGGCGAACACGGTGCTGGTCTTGAACAAACAGGCGCTGGTGAACTGGTGGCTGATCGAGACCGACATGAACGAACCGGTGAGGATTCCCGTGACGAGTCTAGACAAGAAGCAAATGCCAAGAAAAGGCAATCTTACTATGGAGAAACGTGGCTAAGTGGGATAGTCCGTCGCTTTCGTTCTGGATTGCTGTATAGTAACACGGCATGAGCCTCCAAGACAACAATAGGGAGAAGTTGCACTCTCCAATCGTGGGTGTCAAAGATAATGGTAGATGCCCATACAAATCCTTGTGGAGGTTCATTTACCTCCCATTTTGAAACGCATCATCGTGAGTATAGCATATGGTACGAATATAAAGGAAGTCAACAACAACACTGAGAGCATGATGCCTGAGTGCTAAGTCATTAAATACATGCAGTCAGACACACATTGGATTCAGAACTAGAACTAACGTACGGACCGAGCCCTTTTAAATATGCTTAGCCATGCCCTAAAGAGCATATCTTCTCGACAGAATCACGTACCATTCAGCTCCACGTCCATCAATGCCTGGCTGGAAGCGCCCGCTGGCACAGGCGATGCAACATCTTCAGCACAGAGCCACAACACGCACGCGCGCACCCACACACACACGCACACACACACACACACACACACACACACACACACACACACACACACACACACACACACATGTGCAGCAGATCAGCTCAAGACCACACATTTCCGGCCCACTTCCAAAAAACGACCCTCGAGGGGTCCCGGGTGGAGGGGTGTTCTTGCAACACGGTACAGCACACAACAATGCAACACAGGCCATGAGAGTTGGGTGCTTACTTGTTTCTGTGCACTGCGCTGGTAATGCATCCACTGGCGAGCATGGTGCAGTGGGTGAACAAGCGGATGCCGGTAAACTCGAGGGTGATTGAGACCGGCAGGAACGAACAGGCGAGGGTTCCCGCGAGGCATCTAAGAAGCAGGAAGAAGACCAAGGTAGTCTTACTGAAGAGAACACTACATGTATAAGCAAAGCGCGGCAATCTGTGCATTGCCAGACTGCATGCACAGTGCATACACAGTACTGCAAGTGTTGCTTTCGAAAATACGGAGAGTTTGCATCCTCAAATCAAGGGTGACGAGCAAGAAACGTTCCGCTTTCATCATTGAAGTTTCATGAGGCATGCAATATTACAACGGGAATGGGCATGCAGTGAGCAAGGAAAGAGCAGTGGCAAGCACAGGCCCAAACAATGACCTGACGACTGGGATGGGGTTAGCATCAATTAGTTTTGAAGGCAAGTAAGCACAGTCAACCTGGTGAATAACAACCTCGGGTATACACTGTACCAACAACTTGTGAAAAGCGACACTATCTTCAGAACTAGTGGTCATTCGCCTGCATACTTTCAACCTCGCGAAAACAACACGTTCTCATGCCCGACAAGGGTCGTCATTCGCAAGATTGACTGATTAAAAACCTACTTTCTAGGTAGCCAGCCCGGCTGATGATCAGTTGCGCAAAACTCCTGCCTACCAACTACTTCAGTAGCCTGTTAGTCCAACTCACACCAGGGATTGGGCATTTCAGCACAGTGGCCTCTCAAACAGCATGCACTGCTGCACACAGCGTGGCAGCCTGATCGGATTGCTTCACTTACCACTCAACTCCAAGTCCATCAAGGCATGGTTGGAAGTACTTGCTGCTGCAGGTGACGGGCCATCTGCAGCACACAGCAGCATCAACAACAGATCAGACCATGAACACATGTGTCAGGCCATCAGGGACAAGGAGAGTGCTTACTTTAGCATGCTTCTCATGATGATGCACTTATTCTTGTTTTAGGTGCACCTTTTCGGAGTTGTTCTCCGCCTTGAGCACCACCGACTGCTCCAGGACAGTGTACCACTGCATGGCGTGGCGCAAACCCCGACGTCAGAACAGGTCAATACAGCATGGTGAAAGTTCCAGTGCAAGTGAGAGCACACTATAGTACGGCAAGTGCGACCATTCATAGTCAATTGTGTAGTTGCTCATGGCACTGCAAACTGCACCCCGTAAAAGCCATGATCTAACTCCTGCCTGCTCGGTATGTGTGTGTGTGTGGGGGGGGGGGGGGAGGGGGGGGATCACCAGCTATACTAAGTTGCCAAGGTAACTTCAACCATATACCTGAGTCTCTTGATCTGGTCATGAGTTTGAACAGAGAAAAGAGCACAGAGTGTACAATGCAGTGCACATGGCATTTTACTAGGGGTGAAACAAGCATACTGAATACTAGCAGTTGAGTACTTGCTCGGTTACATTGAACAAATAGTTATACTCTTAGTAAATCAGAGTGCTTGTTCATGCAGCGCTAATGCATTTCCTGCAGACTTCAGCAGCTTACACGCGTGCAAGGAGTCCAGATTGATGTCCGAACTGCGTGATGCACATTGGATACAAATGTAGAGGGTGCCTATAATGACCCACCAATAAATATGCTGCAGAAAATAACCGTTGATCTACACAATCAGGGGGGGGGGGGGGTGCTTCAGGATAATTATACACAATTTGTAAAGACTAATGGAGACTTGATTTTGCTGCGAACTGTCACCACTGATTTTCACAATACGCATTGGCGACATTCTTACCTTTTTCGGAGGATTCTTGCCGCAGTGCACTGGGCAAGGGTGGTGCTGGTGAAACCAGTGTGGACGATGCAGAAACACAGGAGCGCACTGGTGAAGACTCCCTTGAAACACAGGAGCGCACTGGTGAAGACTCCCTTGACGAATCTAAACGGTGATTGTAGTGAAAGCACGCACATAGCGAGAACAAGTATATAGTACAAAATACAAATCATATGGTGATCAAAGGGAGTCTAATTTCGAACAAAACAGTATTACAAAGCAAAGAAGTCAATAACACGACAGTTCATTCAAAGCTGGTTAAACACAGGATGATCAACTAGCCAAGAAGACTACTAGTACTTACCACTCAACTCCACGTCCCTTAGCGCACGACTAGTATCGACGCTCTGATCGAGTACGGGCGAGGTGGGAGCAGATGCTAGAACAGTGGAGAAAAGCACATAGAGACCAGGAATGATGCACACAGATGGTCAGTGAATATGTATGCCTATTATCCACAGATACAAATACACAGATAACCATACAATTCCTTGCGCTGATCAAAAAGCGGCAAAAGAAGGCTGCACGCACCCTGGCCACGATAGTGCGAGCTGAGCTACAAAAGAAACACAGGTGATTCACAATACAGTGTACAATCATTTTGCAAATGACATCACTAGGCCTCTCACCTGCCGTGGGGCACTCCTGCTGCAGCAGGACACTAGAGGGCGGCGTGGGGCACTCCTGCTGCAGCACGACACTAGATGGCGGTGACGGTGGTGGAGAGCATGCAGGTGACATTGATACGGGGGAGCGAGTCGGTGAAGGCTCCGGTGATGAATCTACACACGCGTACACATGTACATACATACACACATGCGTGCACACACACACACACACACACACACACACACACACACACACACACACATACACACACACACACACCATTAAGCATAATTGACCAGCCTAGTGAACAGACATGCGAAGAGACAGATAGAGTAGAGACAGATAGACAGAAAATGACAGACAGACAGACAAACAGACAGATAGACAGACAAAGACAGACAGACAGACCACAGCATGGCCTTACCGCTCAACTCCAGGTCATCGTTCAAGTCGTCACTGCGTGAAGCACCAGTGCCAATAGCACTGTCAGTAGGAGATGGTGATGCTGGCAAAGGAGATACAAAATCTGATAACACATAAAGCACAAGACAAAACTTGGTGATTCATTCGTTCGTATCTTGGTCCAGTGCTTAGTTGCTACCGCACAGATATCTGCACACGTTCCTATTATTGGAAATACAAACTAGGCTCAGAATGAATCTGAAGCCCATGGACCAGTCTTTCCAACTAAAGCCTGTATGTAAGGACACGACTAACTAGTCTGCGCGCGCGCGTGCGTGTGTGTGTGTTTATGTGTGTGTGTGTGAAAGAAGAGCTAGGAAAATGAGAAAGAGAAGAAAGACGTGTGGTGTAGACCAGGCTAAAATTAGTGGCGGTCAATTCATCAGCTTTGCAAGCTGTTGAATGGTGTAATCCCAGCACAAGTTGCTATGTTCGACATCGCTGTTCACTATCATCGCTTCCGCGATGGGCATACCGTAAAAGCCCGTGGATAGGCCCCGGGCGTACAGAATAGCAGCCTCGATTTCCTGGGCGTATGCAAGGGCACGGGTGTTATTTTGGAACCGGGTGTATACTTGGAATAGGGATAGCAGTAAGTATTGGGTATCAGTACCTGTACATGTACTGGTGTTGCCAGCATACCTGGGCGTATACATGGGCATGGGCGCTATTTTGAAACAAAAGTGTTGACTTCCCCTGACTGGGCGTGTACACGGAGGGTGGGCGGAATTTCAAGTGGGCGTATACAGGGGCTTTTACGGTATCTGAGGTCTGAGGTGTGTGCATGTGTGCATGTTTCAACTTTCAAATACATCGTCTCTCCCTCAAGACAGGCTTCACGAGTGTTCCAAAAGAGAATGCTATCAGTTGCTACTAGTATCTCCATCACAGCAATCTCACCTGCTTTCATGAGCTCCTCCAAAAGCAGCACAGAGGCGGATGATTTCTTGCCATTCTTCTTCAGCGTAGAGTTCTGATAGCGAACTGGTGAAGTGTCAGGTGAAGAATCTGAATCCGAGGAGCTATCTGATGATGATGATGATGAGGAGGAGGAGGAGGAGGAGGATGATGATGCAGAAAGTGACGAATCTAAACGGAAAGAAGAAATACGCATACAAGCATGCATGCACGCACAAATACATGAACAGAGAAGACGCAACATGAAACCTAGCTTGTGAACACCCACAATAGCTTGCCACTTCACTGGGCTTCACTCTAACGGACAAAACAGCTATGAACTATAACTAATAATGCTAGCGTAGAAGCAATGTGGACAAGCTAGACATACACATGTAGCTAGCACGACTTACCACTCAGCATGACATCAGTCAACAATGATGATTGCTTCGCAGCATATTCTGGTGCAACAGCTACAGGAACCGATGATGGTGGTGATGCTGAAGGAGTCAATGACGGTTGCGTTACAACAGGCGGTGCATGAATGACAGGAGCTGGTTCCGGGGCCGCAATAGTAGCTGAAGGAGCACCTTGAGAGTGAGTGAGAGTGAGAGAGAGTGAGAGAGAGTGAGTGAGAGTAAGTGAGAGAGAGAGTGAGTCAAAGAAAAAAATCAGAAGGAGCAAATAGCGGCTAATTGATGCACCGATAACCAGATAACTAAATTGGTATTAGCATTTTGTATTTTAAGAACTCTCCACAGGCGTCAACACACAAATCAAGCATATTGCTAAAATGCGATGCATCCAACAATGTGCACAATACAGATTCCACCGCTCGACAAAGATAAGGACTTACTGCGAACGCCTCTGATGGCACGTTTTCTTGGCCTGCCGCGTGTAGCCGTGCCTGAAGGTGGTGGCGCTGCTGGTCTAGATGCACCTGCATCAAATACAAACCACACACACGCATGGTCTTTACACACTAACACACTAACTAACACTAACTCACTAACTCACTAACTCACTAACTCAGTAACTGCTGACAAAGGGCATACTGTACCAAGAACACTGTGCTCTAACGAGAAATCTGAAAAGAAAAACGTGGCTTGTAAATTCGACGAGTAAAATTGATCATTCCAGGGGATGACGGCCTGTGTACGGGGAATGGTCAACACTATGTATGTACAATCACATTTCACTGCATACCAACAAAACAGAGGCAACGGTGAATATATTCATTATATTGGGAGTCTTTTTCCAACCATGCCTCCTCGCTAGAGAGCCAACCACACTGCAGGGTCCAGGATCGGCCCAGGCAGGAGGAGGAACAGGCCACGGGGAACAGACTGCTCGAGGTGCACATCAAGCTGGAGCGGGGCACGTCTACCATTTCAAGCGACATGAAAAAAGCACCATTTCACCTTCCTATTTATCATTTTCTCTGACGAGGCCTTACAAGAGCCGAAACCAGTCAGATATTCAAATACATGTACATCGATTAGTGCTTTGCTGTGGTGGGGTTAGTTTCAATCCTGATCTGAGCCGAGAGGTCACAGATGATCTCCATCATCGCCGTTGCCATCATCTGGCTCGTCCCCCTCCTCGGATAGCCGTAGCTTTTCATCTCGACCAAGTCCCAATTTTTTAATCCAAACAAAGTTGATCATGGTGCACGTCGTCATCGCGAGCATTAGGCATGGCTATGTGTGTGTATAGTTTGGCTGCGGTTATGAAGGTGGAAGGGCATGCAGGAGAGAGAAATACAGGACCACTTTAATTCCCTGACAACATGGATAGTAGCAACCATGCACCTATTGCAACTCCGAGCAATGCTGTAGGCAGCTGCAGCTTACCACGACGTCCACTAGTAACTCCAGTGCTTGATCTGTTAGTGCAAGCATTACCAGCTACACCGGTGCTGGATCTGTTACTGCAAGCATCACCAGCTGCAGCAGCACAGGCAGCAGTACCACCACCACCACCACCACCAGCAGCAGCAGCAACAGTGCTGGCAGCGGCAACAACACAGGCAGCACTACTACCCCGGAGCTTGGATTTTCTGGAGGGCAATGGAGGTGAAGGAATGCCTGAGCAAAACAAGACAGGAAGTTCCCGGACACAAAACGATATGATTGTAGCAGCTATACACCAATACAATCATGATGATATACAACTAAATGCACTGCACCATACATTATACTATCCTACACTTAGGGATCTCAGCAAACACACCATATACGTGTGAACAAGATGTTACAATTAGTTGAATACCACGTGCCTGCTGCTTTGCTTACTCGCCATCGCCTGCTGGCACACTGTACAAATAGGATCATTTCGCTTGTGCCCCATTGAAGATTGAATTATGCCATAACTGTGCGAAGTGTGCGCACAATATGTTTGCAGAGATCCCTGTGTGACTTGCCGACACACACACACACACACACACACACACACACACACACACACACACACACACAAAAGAGTATAGATTCGTATACAATACCCTTCAGGCATTGTGGCACAGTCATGCAACACTGCTTACATGTTGAAGGTTGAGGCATGGCACGAGTTGTCAAAGGGACAGACGAGGCGCATGCAGATGGATCATCCTGCTCAGCATCCAGACATTGAAAAGAGCTAGATCGAGGGGCGATATCTGGTGGAACTAGATCTAGACACAAGCATGGAGCAAAACATGCGCATGGGTGCACACCCAGGCGTGTGCGCACGTGCACACACAAACACGTACACACGCACACACATACACACAATCAGACAGTTAGAACACAGCAGCACAAGTACAAGTGATAGCAAAATGATGTTCAGCGCCAGGAGTTGGTAAGACGAGGTGATAGAATTCTTGCAATCATAACGTAATGCTATTCTTACTAGGAGAAGTCTCTGCGCTAACGGGACTACGACACGCTTCAGACAGTAGTGGTAAGTTGGTAGAACCTTGGACAAAAAGCAGCAACAGCAGCAGCATCATGATCAAGTATGTGTTCAGAAAATATGTGATCACCTATACCATAGTGCACTTCAAAATCACAGATGCGTGAGCCTGCACGAGAATTCTGCGTGGGCCAATGGCATAATCTCACACCGGGATCTGTAGGTACGAACTCGGCAGAACTCATAACAACTCTCACACCGAGATCTGTAGGTACGAACTCGGCAGAACTCATAACAACTCTCACACCGGGATCTGAAGGTACGAACTCGGCAGAACTCATAACTCTCACACCGGGATCTGTAGGTACGAACTCAGCAAAACTCATAATAACTCTCGCAGCTCAGCATGTATATCACTGTGTACAAACACAGACATCTCATTCCATTCATGAATGTTTACGTTTCCTGCTCGAGTCGCACTGCTCTCACTCGGCTGGATCTCGACAGCAAAGTTTTAAACAAGAGCATCTAGCCAGACTGGATTCTGTCTGCAGGACTGGCGGGGATAAGGTCTTGGTGCAAACAGGCCAACAAGTCTGGCCTAACTTGGTGCA